TGATTTGTCTCATCCGGATCACTCACTCTTGAGTGGGGACTCGGATGTGAGTCTTATTTCACTGATTAACTCATCCTTATTATGAAGAATATGTCCTAATATTAGTTGAAAGCAATTTTGATTCATATCTATTGTCTTGAGATTTAATGAACGAACAAATAGTTTGATTATTAGAGTAATGATTGCCTGAACCCAGGGGTCATCAAACCCTCCAGTTTGCAAAAGTAGTTTGCATTCAAACGATTACTTCGGTGACACCCTTAAGACAATTATTTATTTAAAAGTTTTATTTCATATGAAATAACGGATGAATTGGTTGACAGGTCTTATGGACACAACAGCAACACATCAAAAGGCGTGTCAAACGAGACTTTCTGTACGACGAACACAGGGTTACCGATCATTCACTGCNCCTTAAGACAATTATTTATTTAAAAGTTTTATTTCATATGAAATAACGGATGAATTGGTTGACAGGTCTTATGGACACAACAGCAACACATCAAAAGGCGTGTCAAACGAGACTTTCTGTACGACGAACACAGGGTTACCGATCATTCACTGCCACATCCATTACATCCATTGTCTGCAAATACATCACATCATCACTCATTAGATACACAAACATTTGTTAGTAAATAATTGTTATAATATTTGTACAAAACTTTTATTACTGTATTATTGATGTGTTGTGTCTCTCGTCTCACTTCAGAAGTATTCAAAAGAAGAGCAAAGAGTGGAAAGAAGGCGTAAACGAGACTTCGTTCGCTTGACTTCGAGTCTTCGGTCGAGTCCTAACTCGAAACGCATGCAATTCGATGACCCGCGATGGCCACAGATGTGGTACTTGAATAGGGGTCAGGGCTTAGACATGAACGTCCAGATGGCATGGAATAAGAACATCACTGGTTTGGGATCTGTGGTCACTATTCTGGACGACGGTCTTGAGAAGGATCACCCGGACTTGGTCTCCAATTACGACCCTTTGGCCAGTTTTGATGTGAACAATCACGACGAGGACCCGATGCCTCGCTATGATATGATTGACTCGAACAGACACGGGACCAGATGTGCGGGAGAGGTGGCCGCCAACGCCAACAACAACATATGCACCGTTGGGATCGCATATAACGCCAAAGTGGGCGGCGTTCGTATGCTTGACGGCGATGTGACCGATGCGGTCGAAGCCAGGTCTCTGAGTCTGAATCCCCAACACATCGATATATACAGCGCTTCGTGGGGTCCCGACGATGACGGCAAGACAGTGGACGGTCCGGGAGAGTTGGCCACCCGTGCCTTCATCGATGGCGTGACCAAAGGCCGCAATGGCTTGGGATCTATATTTGTGTGGGCGTCGGGCAATGGGGGCCGAGAGCACGACAACTGTAATTGTGACGGATATACGAACTCCATTTGGACCCTTTCCATCTCGAGTGCCACTGAGAATGGTCTGGTGCCCTGGTATAGTGAGGCCTGTTCCTCAACACTCGCCACCACCTACAGCAGTGGCTCGTTTGGAGAGCGACAGATCATCACCACTGACCTCCACCACGGCTGCACTTCCAGCCATACGGGAACTTCAGCCTCAGCCCCATTAGCCGCCGGCATCTGCGCCCTCGTCTTAGAGGCCAAGTAAGAGATTTTGTGTTTACATTGTTTACGCAGTATTTCCTAATGATTACCCTGATACTC